CCTCCGGCGCCGGGGGGGGGGCAGATGCTGCCTCTGTAGACCTCCACCTTCAGGGCTGCTGGGTCCCCCCCGGAGCCCTCTCATCATCACCCCAGAACAAGTCTCCGGTTTCAGGATGTGGGCAGCAAATCTGGGCGACTTCTCCCCATGAAGCTGAGGGTTTGTTCACACTTGGGTTCATATTGGAGGCCGGAGCGCACAAGGATGGTTAAAGTGGCCCGACTGGGCGTGCTGACCCGTATCAGAATAGCACCATCTCAAGCACAAAGCAGTGAATAAAACGAAGCCGCGCTCACTGGACAGACAGCTGCCCGCTCACTGGACGGCTGCCTGCTCTCGGGCTGCCCGGCCGGGCTGTCCCCCCACGCGCACAGCTCCCTGTCTGGAGGCACACAGTTGGCGGCACGCGGTGCCCTGCCCCCCCCACCGTCCTGTCCACAAGCTCAGACCCCCTCTGCAGCAGTGGAGTCGGACGCGTGCTGAGCCGCACACATGTCCTCATGCGTCCCGCCAGTCCTGCAAGGCTGAGCGCTGCTCACAGAGGAGGCAGGAGGGGAGGGAGTGCGCCAGCGGTGACCCTCCGGCCCTCCCTGCACATAGCAGGCGATGGAGGGCCTGGCTTCAGAACACGGGAGCGCGTCAGCCCTGTGCCCCGTGGGGCTCCCGTCTCTTCCTCCCGCCCCGTGTGCAGGGCTGGCTGTGCCCAGGCCCCGGGCTCCAGGTTCTGAGGAAGGAAGCTGGCGCTGTCTGTAGAGAAAGAAACCCCGAGCCGCGCCACAGATGCCCCACTAATGGTCTGAAGAGACAATCACCTTCCATGAGACCCGTAAGAGGAGACAGAGATGGCAGAAACCACTGCCTCAGCACCTGCTCCTCCTAAGTCTTAAGAAGTCAGGAACGCAGCCACCTGCGCCCAGGCAGAACCTTCCATTGAACCAGACGCAGAGCGACAGCCGCATTCAGCATTCGGATTTGTTTTTTGAGGCAATTTCATAAAAATAGAACGGAAAAGAAAGATGCATGGCATCGCTGTGCAGGTGGGAAAGCATCTCTGGAAAACAGAGAAGTGAAGGTGTGAGGACCACTGAGTTCCGCGGTGCAGCTGGGTACAGGGACAAGCAGGAGAGCTGGGTTTGTCTAAAATGAATGCTGACAACAGCAGCACGAATTCCACCGGCCGACCAACGGCCCTGACAGCAACACTGCACGCCACATTCACAGAAGCCACACGGATGTTACTGAGAATTATAAAAGAACACAGAATAGAATTACAGAAAGTGTGAAAGAGTTGAGCCCTCGTGTGTGCGTGTGTGTGCATGTGCGTGCGTGTGTGTGCATGCGTGTGCGTGCATGTGTGTATGCATGTGTGTGCATGTGCGTGCATGTGAGTGTGCATGTGTGTGCGTGTGCATGTGTGTGCGTGTGCATGTGAGTGTGTGTGCATGTGTGTGTGCATGCGAGTGTGCATGTGCATGTGAGTGTGCATGTGTGCGTGTACACGTGAGTGTGCATGTGAGTGTGCATGTGTGTGAGTGTACATGTGAGTGTGCGTGTGTGTGTGTACGCGTGCGTGTGAGAGACAGATTTCCCTTCCTCAGTCTCTCACATGCTGGGCTTCCAGAGTGTGCCATCACACACAGTTTAAGATAGTGAGTCTTCCAAGCCGGTGCTTTAACTCAATAATATGATCATCTCCTAAACTAAAAAAAGCCATTCTTATGTCCACCTTCATGTGAGCCACCACCGCACTCTACATGTTGTTCATAGAAGTTAGGGATCTTACCATTAAGTACTTGCTGATTTAACAATTCTAGTAGCCCTGCTATTTTCTATTCTATATCCAGACACATAGATAAATATCTCACAAGCCAGGCAGGGAACAAATGTCTGCTAAATGAGCACATAGATAAGGGAGAAGAGAAAGCAGGTATTTTTGCTCCATATATGAAACTATTACTTGTCTTGGGAAAGACAAATGGATTTAAGGTACGAGGTGAGGAATTTGAGAACTTTTTATTATTCCACATACTAAACTAGATTCCACACCTGATGCTAGATACTAACCTGAGTGCAGGATGAAATACTTTGTAAAAAGTAGAATTATAGTTTAAAAAATAGAAGAGAAAAGGAACTGGATATTTGCCAGCCTTTTAAGGTAAAAATAGAGGGAAAGACTGACATTAGGAAATATAAACTACACTGTCTCTGGATCTACCAGTTATGAAAACAGACAATGATAAATCCTCAAAATTAAAAATAATTCCCAATTGTTGGCAGAAAGAGTAGGGTGCATTGTGTGCCAAGGAGATTCAGGTTCCAAAACGGAGCACTTGGCTCGTGATTTCAGCTCTCATGAGCTCTTCTGAGGTCCAGAAAGGGAGCTGCTGTGTCCTGCTCAGGGGGCTGTGGCGGAGGCCTGGAGGCCGGACTGGGAGGGGGAGGCTGGCTGGACGGGGAGGGG